CAGAGCGCTCCGGTCGCGAGACTGGTTGCTCCCCGAAGCCGCGATGGACAACGCTACTTGTCATGTCGTCTACGTGAACCGTCAGGTTCGCCAAGACAGACTGATACGCAATGATGCGACCGATGCACACCTGTCGAATGGCGATGTAGCCAGTGGAGAAGTTGAGTATATACAAAAAGACGCCGCACTTTTGCTGGATACCTTTGGAGAAGGTATGCAATCGATAAACCCCTCGTTCTCGCTCGTGATGCTAACGACACTTCGCCAGTCTACCTCTGTTCCACCGGCTCAGCATGCATCTCGACGCTTTTCCAACTTTCCGACGAGTCAATAATGGATCTCACGCCAACTCTTGTCCTCGTCGACGTCCCTTACGACGAGCGCTTACCCAAGGTCCGGTCAAAGTCTAGGTCACCTTCACCGCACTCGCGCCCAGTCACTGCCGATATTGATATACATACCCCAGAAGAGGAGGTCTACGGTCTGAAGTTACTGCAGAGAATCATGACTGAGGCTCACTTGCGTAGCATATCCAAGCTGGTCGTACCTATCCCAGTCGTGAGCTTTTCCTCGTTTGAAGTCCCTCACGCCAATGGCAGCACGATCGAAGACGCGGAAACGAAAAACTCGCCCACAGTCGATCGACGACTGATCATTCGCTGTCTCGATCTTGGTGCAGTAGATGTCATCATTAGCCCTTTGCACCCCAAATGCGTCACCAGTTTGGAGATCCATGCTTACCGCGGCCACAAAGAGGCAGCAAGAGAACAGCAAGAGATGCTAGAGGTCCGCAGAGGCAGGAAGCGTTCATGGGTCGGCGTAAACGAGGAAAAGCCCTTTGCATACTTGAGGGAAGCCATGGTATCTGGTCTTATGAGAGGCATATGCCGGTCGGGCGCGGATTCAGACGATGATCGGATCGCCAACGTCAGCATCGCCGTATCCACTGATCGCCAAGCCGCCGTCGCTGCCGCCGTAGGCAAGTGGCACTTCTGTGCCCACAGCTGGACCGATGACGAGCTGCTCGTGGCAGCGATGGTCATGTTCAAACATGCGTTGACCATGCCCGAGTTAGATCGTTGGCGGATTCCCACAGGTGAATGCTGCTGGCTGGCAAGACTCGGTGCAGTCGCTAACAATTCCCAGATCAGCTCATTAGTTTCCTGGTTGCCTGCAGAGCTGCGTACAACAACTTCGTTCCATACCACAACTTCCGACATGTTGTCGACGTCCTCCAGGCCACCTTCCATTTCCTAGTTCGTATTGGAACCCTGGCGCCATTCCCTCAAGACTCGCTTGCGCCTGAACAGCTTCCCGAAAAGTCTCCCATGGCCAGCTTGTTGCATCCTTTCGAGGGCCTCACGCTTCTGATCACGGCCATCGGACATGACGTCGGACATCCTGGTGTCAACAACGGCTTCCTCGTCACCCTCAACGCACCATTGGCTCAGCTTTACAACGACCGCTCCGTCCTTGAGTCATTCCACTGCGCTGCGTATTCGCAGATCCTGCGAAGGTACTGGCCCAGCGCGTTCGAGGACACCAAGATGAGGAACCTCATGATCAGCTCCATACTTGCCACTGACATGGGTCTACATTTCGACTACATGAAAAAGCTTGGCGACACCCAAGAGAAGCTGGATGTTAGCGACACCACCGATGGATGGAATGGTCGTATGCTGGAGGAACAGAAGGCGTTGGCCTGCTCCTTGCTCATCAAATGTGCAGACATTAGTAATGTGGTAAGTTGGGTCCGTTGCATTTCAACATGGGCAGGATGATAACTTGCGCACCACAGGCGAGGAAACACGAGACTGCTCTTAAGTGGATGCATATTCTCTCAGACGAATTCTCACGCCAAGCTTCCATGGAGAATGAATTGGACATTGCGTCGTCTCTTCTTGCACCCCCGAAGAAGGACCTAATGTCGCTCTCCAAGGCACAGCTGAGCTTCATGAATATGTTTGCTATTCCACTCTTTCAGGGGGTGGCCGACATACTCCCGGCAATGAAATACACGGTTGACGAGCTTGAAATCAACAAGGGCCTCTTCGAACAGCGTGTCCGAGACGAGCAGGCCAAGGAGGACCCCGTACGCAAGCGACTTGTCCGCGACGGGACATTCTCCCCGCGAACTATGAGTTTTGTGGGCGGTCCCGAGAGTCAGAGAGAGTCCTTGACCCCTCGGGTGTCGACGCCCTTGACGGAGGAACTCGCAACACCACCGTCGCTGTTGGACGAATCAAAACGGGAAGACAAGGAATTGTCGCCAGGGCCGGCCGATCCGGTGAACAGGCCTACGCATGTGCCAGGCACTTCCGACGACTACAAGGAAGTAAACGGCATCGTGACGACGTTTGACTCGGTGGCAGACTTCGCCGCGAGCGATCCTTTCCATAGCAGGGACAGGGCGAGCAGCTCTCCTGATAACCACCACGGCCACAACGGGAAACAACGCTGTAGCGAGACAACCGACGGAAGCATTACGGGCCAGTACGGCGGAGACTGGGCTTCGCAGGCTACCAGTGCTACCACGGGGAAAATGCCTCTTTCTCCAAGCACGCAAGGCACTAGTATTGTCAGTGCAGAGTCCGCGGAGCACATCCCTGGCGTTCCCACGATCTCGGAACCCAAGCCGTTCAACGAAGGCAAGCTCGAGCCCCCGATGATGGATCAAGAAGCGAACGGCTCTTACACATCGCATGAAAGCTGCAGGGTAGACGGAGGGAGAAAGTTGGTCAAGAAGAAATCCAGCAGGTTCCGCATAAAGGCGTTCAACTTCTTCCGGGGCACCAGGTCGGCAAGCCCTTCGATGCCGGCGGCTGACACAGCCGGTTGATGACGTTGGGTTGGAGCGAGGTAAGCCGAAGACGACTGCCCCTCGGAGGTAGTGGCACATGGGCACAAAAGCCCTCAAACGTGGTGGTTCACACAGCTGTCCTGGTCGTCGATATACCCGAGCTACGCTGTTATTAATCTAATAACGAACCGAGATGACCAGGCGGCACCCACACACGAAATGACTTGTAAAGCAGTATACGGACCTCGCTATATATGTACAGTATCGGAGACGGAGTTAATGCTTTGGGGATTTGGTGTTTGGCCAGACAACGGCGACGGCATTGGGGAGGCATGGCCACGTTTCTTATGAAGTGGATGGAAGGCTTAGCGAGAACACAAGTTCTCGGTGGTCTCAACAGCCCCGTGGGCATCAGAATGGGCTGGACAGAAGGCGGCGTTTCCGGGCAGACAGGTGGATTGTGATGATAGGGCATCAGGACAGCGAAGGTCTGGTACCAAGGAGGATGGCGGCGAAGCCTTGTTTTGATTACGGCCGAGAAGGCTTGCGACCAGACCAGAAGAAACAGATGTCAGGAGGACGAATGGCTGGGAAGGGCCGAACGTCCGTGGTAGACGAATACAAACTCTGACCAGTTCCGCGAGGCCGCTCATAAATGGATCATCGTCTTAGGGGAGACAGAACCTAGTATCACAAAGCGACCACTAGGAAGGGACTGATGACACTTGACCCCCAGGCTTGGCAGCCGGTACCGCTTTTAGGCCTGGGGCGACATGGGTGACGTCGACAGGCGCCCACCCGTGTTGAATGGCGGTCACGAATGAACGATCCGGGGTAATTTGCGGCGATTCTACGATGCAGAGCAGGGGGCGTCGGAGTCTGCTCTGGATGCTAGGGCAAAAGATCAGGCAGATGGCGGTGATGGGCATTGAATGACTGAGGCTACGAAACAAGTCGGTCTGGCCAGGAAGCTGGCCTATGGTCTTACCACAGACGGGTTGGCCGTAGAGGTTCGCGGTCAACCGAGCGGTCACGCATCTCGCAGGGTGTCTGACGTTGACTGACGTTAGTTAACCGGCCATTCCATGCTGCCATGGTGATTCGTAACCTGCGGGTTAGCAGATAGCACAGAGCAATCCAGATATTTTCGTCACACCTCGACCCCGGAAATACGATACCAAACAAAGTGCGAGTGGATTTGATTGCAAGCAGCGAACGCGCCTCGTCCCTTTGGCACTGCATCTTGAGCACCAGCTCCAACGGCTCTCAGTAGGCTCGTGACCAGAGCCGGGGGCGGTGCAGGGCAGCGTTTGTGCCTGAGAATCCCCCCATGATACCGCCGCGAATCGGAATGCGGGATGCGCTTATCAGGAAGACATATGTGGGCTGCCGCAGCAAAAGCGCCCAGGTTCTGTGCCTGGCCTGTACCTGGCATGACGCAGACGAACCGAAGGGGGGCAGGGTGAACGAGACGTCGGCCGTCGGCGCGTGGGAGCCTTAGTACCTCAGCAGCCATGGAAGTCGAGACACACGCAAGCCCGGCACTAACAGACACACAGCTCATGGCACAACGCGACGTGTTAGTGAGTCTGCAACAGGCAGGTTCTCCTTTTAGCGCCCGAGTCGCGGGGATCAGGTGGGCGCTACCCTGTACGAAGTACACGCATCCCCGACAGGTATGTTTTGGCAACGCTTGGGTCGAGCCGGTCGTTGCTCAGCTTCCGAAGCTCTCCACAGCAACAGACCAACAGTGCGCGCTGAGCTGTTTGCTGCTGCTGCTGCTGTCACGGCTACTGCTGGCTTCGGTTGTAGCTGTAGCTGCTGCTGCGACGGCAGGCCCAGGGGCCAGCCCACCCCAGCCCACCCATTGGTGACATTGGGAGCTGCCCTCCCTACCTGCACGCTGCCGTCTACGGCAAGAGGGTTCCTCCAGGTCCCCAGCATGAGCATCCACTAGCACCCAGTCAACCCGCGCCCACCTCGTCATGTTTCATTACGTCCGCGAGCTTCCTGCCTATGACCCGACAGCCATACTTACTCCGAGCTCCCTCCTCCCCATCGCCCAATCTTCCCTCCTTCAACACCATCCTCTCCCACCCTCCTCCTTTCGCATCAGAGCTATCATTCATCAGCATCATCTCGATACAACCCATCAACGTCAGCGATAGTTCCATTCCCGAGCTAATTGCCTGCCCACACCATGAGGTTCTCAACCTCCGCCCTCGTGCTCGGCGCCGCCTCCACCGCGGTCGCCCTGGACCAGCACGTCCTTGGTGGCAACGACAGTCCCTTCGACTCCATCAAGACTGCCGGCGAGAACTGGTTGTCGGCGTTCGAGGACAAGTTTGGCAAGATGACCTCTGAAGCCAAGGCCGTCTGGGACGAAATCACTCTCCTCGCTCCCGACGCTGTCGAGGCCTTCAAGAAGAACGCCATTCCCTCCAAGCCCAAGCCCCACCGCCGCAAGGCTGATAAGCACTGGGATCACGTCGTCAAGGGCGCTGACCTTGAGAGCATGTGGGTTGAGAAGAATGGCGAGAAGCACCGCAAGGTTGGGGGTCCTCTCAAGAACTTCAACCTGCGCGCCAAGAAGGTCGACCCCTCCGCTCTCGGCGTAGACAAGGTCAAGCAGTACAGCGGTTACCTCGATGACGAGGAGAACGACAAGCATCTCTTCTACTGTGAGTAACCATCATTTGGAACCTGCATTAACTTATCGAATCAACTAACAACTATGTAGGGTTCTTCGAGTCCCGCAACGACCCCAAGAACGACCCCGTTGTTCTGTGGCTCAACGGTGGCCCTGGCTGCTCTTCCCTCACCGGTCTGTTCATGGAGCTCGGCCCTGCTTCTATCGACAAGAAACTCAAGGTTGTCAACAACGAGTGGTCGTGGAACAACAACGCCTCCGTCATCTTCCTTGACCAGCCCGTCAACGTCGGCTACTCCTACTCTGGCTCTTCCGTCTCCAACACGGTCGCTGCTGGCAAGGATGTCTACGCCCTGCTCTCCCTCTTCTTCCACGAATTCCCCGAGTACGCCAAGCAGGACTTCCACATTGCTGGCGAGTCCTATGCCGGCCACTACATCCCCGTCTTCGCCTCTGAGATTCTCTCTCACGAGGACCGCAACATTAACCTGAAGAGTGTCCTGATTGGCAACGGTCTCACTGACGGCCTGACCCAGTACGAATACTACCGCCCCATGGCTTGCGGAGAGGGTGGCTACCCTGCCGTTCTCGACCAGGGCGAGTGCCAGGCCATGGACAATGCTCTTCCCCGCTGCCAGAGCCTGATCAATAACTGCTACGATTCTGGCAGCGTCTGGTCTTGCGTCCCCGCCAGCATCTACTGCAACAACGCCCTCATCGGCCCTTACCAGCGCACCGGACAGAACGTCTACGACATCCGTGGCAAGTGCGAGGACAGCAGCAACTTGTGTTACTCTGCTCTTGGCTGGATCGCCGACTACCTGAACCAAGATTCCGTCAAGGAGGCCCTCGGCGCCGAGGTCGACAGCTACGACAGCTGCAACTTTGACATCAACCGCAACTTCCTCTTCGCTGGCGACTGGTTCCAGCCCTTCCACCGCGTTGTTCCCAAGCTTCTCGAGAAGATCCCCGTCCTCATCTACGCTGGTGATGCTGACTACATCTGCAACTGGCTCGGCAACCGTGCCTGGACCGAGGCTCTCGAGTGGCCCGGTCAGAAGTCGTTCAACAAGGCCGAGGTCAAGGGCCTCCACGTTGGCAAGGGCGAGGAATACGGCAAGGTAAAGTCCAGCGGCAACTTTACCTTCATGCAGCTCTACGGTGCTGGCCACATGGTCCCCATGGACCAGCCCGAGGCTTCCTCAGACTTCTTCAACCGCTGGTTGGGCGGTGAGTGGAGCGCTTAAGCGTGCTCAATGTAACGATGTGTATGAACGAAAGAATGATTCGTGTGGATGGATTGTCTCAGTGTCCGCTTGTATTGGATCGTTGTAGACTGGGCATTGGAGTATATTAATACCAGAGACCCAGTCGTCTCGTTTGGGTGGGCGCCAGTGTCAGCCCGGCGCGGTAGATCTTAGTTACGCTGCTAGAATATGACTCTTTTCGCGTATGCGTAATCGCAATCTTGGTATCAAGTGACATATCTCAAGCCATTTATGGTCGCGTTCCATCCGATTTGACAAAGATTCGGGGATGAGTCGAAATGATGGTATTAGTCACCGCGGCGGCGTATGTCCAAGCAGGCGCGGTACCCGCAAAATAACGTCAGATCAACCCGCCCAGGTACCAGCCTACAGATATTTCACCGCCCGCTGCCCCTCCTCGCAACTGCTGTACAACCAACTACCCCGCCAAAACTTCTCGGGCGAGAACTTCGTGCAAACAACGACGACGACGAACCGTTCGATTTTGCTATGTGAATAGTGCAAACTACTACACACAAGCCCCCCAACCTTGTATCGATCGTAAAACAAACGCAAACGCCACTGCCGAAGCAGTAAACCGCCACGATGTCGTCGCGAATCAACCAACCGTCGAACCAGATCAAGCTGACCAACGTGTCCATGGTGCGGCTCAAAAAGGGCAAGAAGCGCTTCGAGATCGCGTGCTACAAGAATAAGGTGATGGAATGGCGCTCCGGCGTCGAGACGGACCTCGACAACGTTCTCCAGATCCCCAACGTCTTCCTCAACGTGTCCAAGGGCCAGACGGCGCCGAAAGAGGACCTCGAGAAGGCGTTTGGCAAGGGCAAGTCCACCGATGACATCGTTCTGGAGATCCTGAAGAAGGGGGAGATGCAGGTCGGCGGTAAAGAGCGCGCGGAGCAGCTCGAGAGGGTGCACAACGAGGTCATCGGCATCGTGGCCAGCAGGCTCGTGGACCCGCGGACAAAGAGGGTGTACACGACCGGCATGATAGAAAAGGCGCTGGACATGCTGTCGTCGGCGGCGCACTCTGCTGTGGAGGACGCGGCCGGCGCAGGAAAGAAGGGCGGCAGCAGCGCGGTGAACAGCGGCGCCGGAACGCCTGCGGGCGGGGAGGAGGGGGAGGCGAAGCCGAGGGAGAAGAGCGTGCCGCACTGGACGGGCGTGGTGACGACCAAGTCGGCGAAGAGCCAGGCGCTGGAGGCGATGAAGGCGCTGATCGCGGCGCAGCCGATCCCCGTGCAGAGGGCGCGGATGAGGCTGAGGGTGACGTGTGCGACGAGCGTGCTGAAGCAGGCCGTCAAGTCGGCGGCGCCCAAGAGTGGCGAGGACGGGGAGCAGGCCAAGGCGGGGACCGTCAAGGACCGCATCCTAGGCTTCGTGGAGCAGGTCGAGAGCCAGGACGTGCTGGGCAGTGAGTGGGAGGTCGTGGGCTTTGTCGAGCCGGGTGCGTTCAAGGGGCTGGGTGACTTTATCTCGAGCGAGACGAGGGGACAGGGACGGGTTGAGGTGTTGGATATGGCTGTTATCCATGAAGACTAGAGATGAGGAAGTTGAGGGGAAGTAAAAGGGAAGAAAAAAAGACGTGGCATGATACCCCCTAGATCGAGGGTTTGTTCTTAATGATACGAATATGGCATAATGGTCTTAACGTTTAGCACGCTTCACGTTGCGATGCTGCTTGCTGTCTGTGATGGGGTCATGCTGAAGTACCAACTTATGCTACGATGAGGAGCCTGCCATTATCCACACACTACTCTGGAAGCTACAGCCTTCACCATGGAGCCCTGGGGAAAGAGTCCGAGATCAGCAAGTTCATATGCTGAGGCAGCACCCTCAACGACGTCAAGGCCGTCAGGGGGGGAGCCGGATACCTCCATCACCGGCATCGTATAGACCGCCGAAGGATAGTCCGGATCCCTACACGGCGGCAGCAGCTCCGCTCGCTTGGATGTCGCACATGTCCAAAATGGCAGGCACTTGATATGTCACTAAAAGGTCCACCATAAAATCCGGAATACGGAAACCCAGGCGCAGATTCAGAAAAAGGCATGTCACAGTTTATACGATCCCGAGATGTTGAACAACAAATCAATTCCCATTTTTAGACACCAGTAGTCACATCACAAGGAACCAAAAGTCAACTTTTTTTGAAAGCCTTTTTGTTTCTTGGTATGATGCAGACTCTTCCGTTGTTTGTTCACGATATCTGAATGGCAATCCCCTCCTCAGCGGGTGGTGGTAATGCCCCAGAGAATGAATCATCATCATTTTGTTGTAGATGGATGTTGTCGCCAAGAGACATAGAGAGAAAAACCAAGCCCGATAACACGCCGGCCGCCTTAATGTTTGTTGGTCCCCAGCCGCAACACCACCCAAACCATCGTCAGAGTCGTCATGACGAGCGATACGTTTAGCCACCCTTCTTCTTGGAGACACCGACGGTACGGCCGCGGCGACCGGTGGTCTTGGTGTGCTGACCACGGACACGGAGGCCCCAGTAGTGACGGAGACCACGGTGGGCGCGGATCTTCTTGAGGCGCTCGAGATCGTCGCGGAGCTTGGAGGCGACACCGTTGGCGAGGATCTGGCTGTCCTTGCCGTCGACAATGTCGCGCTGTCTGTTGAGGAACCACGCGGGGATCTTGTACTGGGTGGGGTTCTGGATGATGGTGACGATACGCTCGAGCTCTTCCGAGGTGAGCTCACCGGCGCGCTTGTTCAGGTCGACTGTTGGGGCGAAGTCAGCATCTCTGGTGACTCTCTCGACTTTCTCCTCCTCAGAAGCAACAGATTGCCTCTACTCGGGATCGTGGGGGGAAACGTACCATCGGCCTTCTTGCACACAATGTTGGAGTAACGACGACCGACACCACCAATCTTGGTGAGTGCGTACATGACCTTCTCCTGGCCACGAACGTTGGTGTCTGTGAAAGCGCACGTTAGCCTCTCGTGTCCATCATTTCTCGAAATTCGGAGTGTTTGTCGTCGCGTGGGATCGTCAAATGCGTGTGTAGGTGTGTGTGTTGGGAGAAAGGTTAAAACGTACTTAGAAGACGAAGGATGAACTGGAAGTTCGCTGTGACGAGACTGTTAGCCGATTGCGCTCTCCTCCATAACTGTATCGGTTCGCGGGTGGTAACGCACTCTTCTCCCCCGAGACGAGCGACATGCTGGGCAACTGTCGAGATGGTTGCTCCTAGGTGTCGGGTGTTGATGGTTGACGACGAAGTCGGGATACAGACAAGCAATGATAGAGTTGGAGGTGCGCTTCGGGTGTGGGAAATTTCTGGCGTGGCGTGGGCCTCGCTAGGGTAGGGTCACGTGCAAGGCCGACGCACCTTTTTTTTTCTTCCTCGCTTGACCACCTCCCTCGCGGTCTCTGCCTCGAAGAGTCCACCCGTCGTTTGTCCATTGCCCCTGCTGAAACCCCACTATGGATCTGGGGGGCATTCTTTGTTGTATTTGATTGGCTGTTCTTACCCGCTGTTCTCGGCCAGTCTAACATCGAGCACTGTGAGTCCATAAGATTGACGGCCCCATGGAAAAGGACCCTTGGTGCTTTTCAGAGTGCCATTGCAAGTGTGAATGAGCCTGGGTATTTTGTGTCACTTACTGGTCTATGGTCTACTGCCGAAATTCTACTATGACCTGCAAATTAGTTCCTGTCGCGTCACCACTGCAGCATCAACCGAGAATTGTCAAGACATCAAGGCAGGCACTCATACGCGGTAGGTACGTAGGTGTTACAGTTTCATTCAGTATAATTCCATAGCACAAGCACAAGAAACTCTTGCGGCTGATACAACCCCCCCCCCCTCCCCCATTAAACATTTACACAAACCATAGAGCCACGAGAGGGATATATGTTTGAAGTTTCGAATGTCTGCCGTCTCCACATTCCTCCCGTTGGATATCCCGACCCAGCAGCCCAACCCAAACTCCCCGTCCCCAACTCCGTTGTACGTCGTGCACTATCAAATCCCATTTCCCTATGCTGCTGGGGCCGGAGCCGGGGCCACAGCTGGTGGATTTGCGGGCGCCTGATTCGCCCCGTCGAGAACGGCCGCAGGGGGTTGCGCCGCAGGCTGAGCAGCTGGTGCTGGAGCTCCTCCCGGGCTCGATCCCACGATTACCACACCTGATCCCGAGCTTCCCTGAGGCGGCGGTGGGGAAGCAGCAGCAGGTTGCGCTTGGTTAGCCCCGGCGAGAACCGCGGCAGCATCAGTTGGGGGTGCTGGCGCCGCGGCTGGCTGGCCCTGGTTTGCGCCGACGGCAATGGCACCAAGAGATCCTCCCTGGGCTGGAGGAGCCGCAACAGCTGGAGGAGGAGGGGCAGCAGCCGGAGGAGCGGTAGCCGGAGGAGCGGCCGCAGCCGGCTGGTTGGCACCAACGGCAATGGCACCCAGAGGCTGTCCCTGCACCTGCCCGGCGTTGTTAAAGATGCCCAGACCCGAGAGACCCGCAAGCTGTGTGGCAGCGATCTGCTGGAACGAGGAGAAGATGTTCAAAGCAGCTCCAGCGAGTGCCGGATTGCCGGCAGCAGCATTGGCGGCGGTCGAGGCGCAGTCTGTTAGGAAAGTAGCCGCGTTGGAAACGAAGAGACCGGCCTGATTCGGCAGAATGATGGCGGCGGGGTCCGGAACGGACGCAGCCAGCTGAGGAGCTTGCGTGCCCGCGGGGAGGATGATGCTCTGGCCGAGTTGTCCAAATGGAGCGGCCTGGTCGAAGGCAGCAAGCTTGAGGGTGGTGTCGCTTTCGTCAGCTCCTGGAGTGGGAGCGGCGGCGGCTTGGACACCGTCGGTGTTGTTTGACACGGCATCAGAGGCAGAATCGAGTGCGACGCGGGCAGCTCCGAAAGTGTCGGATTGCGAAGATGCCGCCTGTTGCGTTGAGATGTCCATGGGTGTCGGGTCGTTGACCATTACCAAGGCTTGCTGTCCCGGCTTGCCATTGTCGGCGAGGAGCTGGTTCACGAGGTACCGCTTGTTCTGTCCTCCACCTTGGCGGTTGTCAACGAGGCCGGTGACGGTCACAATGATGGTGTTCTGGTTGCAGTCTTAGCACAGGACCAACTTGGAAGAACAGATGCAGGACACCAGGAGAAACTCACCGCTTGGGGGAACTGCGCCTTGAAGTGGTTGATGCGAATGTTGTCCTTGACAGTCTGCAGTTGCGTCGCAAGAGCAAGCTGGGACTGTACCAGCAACGCCAATTCCCTCTCATTCTGGCGCTGGAGCTGGTTGATCTTGTCGAGGTTCTCCTGCACGACGATGATGTTGGGCTTGATGATGTTTTGTATAATCGTCACGTCTCCGTTGTTCTTGTTATTGTTGTTCTTGTTGTTCTTTTCATTATTGTTATTCTTGTTGTTCTTATTTTGGTCCTTGTTCTGGTCCTGCTTTTGCGCGTCCTTGTCTGCGGCTTTGGCGTCTTGCGAGGGTGCAGTTGCTGGGGCTGTCGAGGCAAGTCAGTACCTTGTCCAGCCATCATGTCGCACTTGAGACTTACCAGCAGCAGCAAGTGAGCTGAAGACCGCAAGGCCAGTGAGAAGATGTTTCAGTTGCATTTTGAATCTCGTCACACCAAAGATTAGAATTTAAAAGAAAGGACAGGTATGATGCCAGGCACAGCCAAATGCAAATCGATTACGTATGGAGAATAGAATGAAGGTATTAGGCGACCTCTAGGGCTCACCGAGAGAAAGAAACGGTCGTGGAAAGTAAACGCGAGGCTAAGAGATCTACTCCTGTGAAGTAAATCCTATGATCTCTCACGATCCGCTGCGACGGGGTGCGAATTTGGAGCCTCGTCTTTAAGTACAAACCTTCGACCACTCCACGAAAATCCGCCCTCTGTCGATGAATCCCTCCTGCCGCCGGGAGCAGCGTTTCCCGTCGTCCACCGCGGAATGCCTGAACGAAGCGAGGACATCGCAGGGGATGGACAGACGATCTGGTGTACATCGTCTCGTCACCAGCCCCGGCCCTAGTCTTCGGAGGTTAAAGCACACGGGACAGCATGATTTAAGAGGGGCATTCGAGGCGGAAAGAGGCATCTCGAGCCCTGAGACAAGGAGAAGGGTCCTTTGGGGGAGGGGTAAAAGAGGGCACAGCCTGTCTGCCGAACTATGCTTCTCGTGAGCCCTGCCATCCAACCTTGACAGGCTCTGACGTGCCGTCTCAACCGCCAGGTACACAGCTGTCAACGGGGCATCATCCCATCGACGACAGGACGAGTTTCGGGATCCAGCCGCCAATCACGTTGGCCAAATGACCCCAGCCGCTTTCGCGACCCACGCGAAACGGTAGGGCGGAAGAGCCTCATCCGGGCCCTCTGTCATCGGGGCTTTTCCATCTCCTGGTCTTAAGAGTCAGGAGTCGGGAAGCGCGCCGTATTGTAAATTCTGGCAAGTCGTCGCGAAAATGCCGGTGATAATCGTTGCGCATCTTGGTCGGTTGATGCTCGGCATGTCGATTGCCAAGGGGATCATTGCTGGGATTTGCGTTGGCAAAGGTGCGCTCTCACGTTGAAACGTAACACAGAGCGAAGTTTAGAGTCGAGTGCGGCTTTTGAAGCTATGAAAAGGGGGCTTAAAACTAAAGTTTTCATTTGAGTTAAGCTCAAGCCGATGCTGATGCCAAGATGGGGCAGAAAACGACTCTGTTCCGCTTGAACCGATGGCAGCTTGGCTTTTGGAGGATGTCGAAGCTTGTTTTCCTTCAACTAGATGGCGGTTTGGCTGTGCGCAGATGGAGCACACCCGAAACACCGACGGGAGCCCCTAACCCCTGTTCTTGTTTAGTAACGCAGCAACTACAATGCAACTGACGAATTTGCAGGGATCGTGTGTCAATTGCGATTCCGTGGCGTGTTACCTCGTGTAGGCATTATTGTAATTAAGTATCTATCGTATGGTGAACTGGGACTCGTGGGCTTTCAGCTCCAGCTCGCTAGTCGTCATGCCATTCTCGTCAAGTTCCGTAAATCGCGTTTCCTAACCACAGCACCGCCAACAATCCCACAACCCGAAGCTTCAATGCGCCGTTCGAAACAGATGTGCTGCTCTGCTTCGCACTCCCAGCCGCCTTCTCTGCTGCATTGTTGTCTGCCACTGCGGGCTGCCACCGAATAGGACTCTTCTTACCGTCCTTAACGGGTCGACCCAAAGTGACGTCCTCAGATTCCTCCTGGTTCTCAGTACCTGTCAAGCTGCAGGCAATCCGTCGGGTGGCACTGTGGCTCTTAGCGCACGCCCAGAGGAATATAGCAGCGATTATCACTACTTCAAGCGACCTCGGGAGGTAGCCCGGGCGCCCGATTCTTAACACCCCGGCGCCATCGCTGGCTAACCAGATGTGGTGGTGAAGAACGTACGCCTCGAGAGACAACCGTCCAAGAGTCGCACATAGTGGAACGTGAAGTTCACGCAGTGCTTTGAAGGAGTTACGCGTGATAACTGCTGACAGGACAAACCAGGGACTGGTGTATGGGTGAAAAGCGTTGTAGGAGTCGTTGTTGTGGTAGACGTCCGCCGCAAATGCTAGGATGATGAATACGACGAGATAGGCAATCGCAAAGCATATCATTATCGGCTTCACCGGTATCGCGTCTCTCTCGGGATACGCAATCTCCAAAATCCCACGATCAAAGGCGTCGTTGGCTCTTTCGAATGGCGCGCGAGCGTTGATGCAATGCTGACGGCGGCGAAGAACGGAAACCCGGTGGGCAGCTGCAGCTGTGAGTATGCCAAAGTACGGCACAAAACGATTCAGCGCGAAATGCGACCGCAGCATATCCACGTTCCAATGAATGCCGCTGGTTGACTTGAGAATTCTCAAAAACGTCTCCGGGAGGTGTGTGCTTCGGACCAGGAAGGTCGTGCAGGTTGCGAAGACCACAATCTTGAGGAAGAAGGCGACAGGGTTGTTGTTGAGTGTTTTGAAGCAAGCCAGCGATGCGAATGTTACTCCGAACCAAAACGTCATGAGCGGCGCCGAGTAGATGATCCATTCGCTGGACGTCGCGAGGCCTAGAATGCAGCTGAGAAGGTTGAGCCGGACCAGCACATACGTTGCCCGTCTGAATGAGAAGTCCTCTGTACGGAGAAAGTAGCTTGTGTGGCCATAGCAGGACAGAAAGATGTAAGTCGCCACTAGGAACTTATGCACTTTGTACATCGCGAGTGACTCGGATGCTGCGTGGTAGTTGTACAGCAGAATGAACGCCTGCATCCAGCCCTTCCACTCGTCGGTTTGTTCACGGGACAGAAATGAAGTCGTCGCGAGACCTTTTGCGGAAGACAGAACAGGCGGTCTTGACCGCAGGGAGAGGCCTGCGAGAATTGCCAGACCAATGACAGGCAAGATAAAGTCGGGCACGTCGAAATGCTTATCATGCTTGATCAAGAGGTGAGTGCGGTCGGCGAGCAGGCAGTAAACAGCAATGGCGACGAGGGTGGCTGCGGCAAGCAGAGAGTCCATGACCTGCGACGTGCGAGCGGAAGGGAACGCGTCCTGTCTCCGGTCCAGAAATAGGATAGGCAGCGCTAGAATACTGAGTCCAAGAAGCAGCACCTGAACCCTTGACAGGGACGGGTAGGGGGCGCAACAAGTAACCTGGTTTGCGTATCCATTTCTGACCAATCCAGAGTTGCAGTGAGCGTTCAAAATAACGTCGAGTTTCCGCTCGGCCACAATGTCTACAGCATGCAGCCCATCGTCAAGGAGAGCATCGTCGTGGCTATCCAGCATTGCATTGTAGCTCTGAATGACATGTGTCCGTTCCGCCGGCTCAAAATTGTCCAGATTCCAGTTCATGACGTCTATCTTCTCGGGCGTGATTGTTCTTGCCCGGGACGTCAATAGCTTGTCATACGCTGGGATAGGCACGGGTGCGACAAGCACGTGGTTGGAGAGCTCTTCGAATGCCGACTGCGACTTGCTCTTGGGCAGCACCACCAAGTGATCAAAATCACGGTGCAGGTACGGCATCAGGTTGTTGATGCCTTCTCTGAAGAGCTCCAAGTACCGATCACCGCCCTGGCGAGCCGCCCAGAGACCTGGTGTACCAACAACAATAAGGGCGGCCGAGTCTTTGCCCTCCTTGCGGACGAGTTTCTCGTAATCTGCAGAGCCAGGACGTTCCCGGAATCGAGCCAATTGGCTGAAAAGGGCGGTGGAGTTGAGCCATGGGTCCCAGATAAATTCGAGCTTCACACCCTCAACGTCCTTGGCAAGGTTCAGGTGCTTGTTTTTGGAAACGGCAAAGTCGAGGATGGCTTTCTCGGCGACGTGATGATCCAACCGGGTCATGGCAGCGAAGTAGATCTGGCGCATGGTCGAATCGCCGGCAATCACTAGGTGACGGTCCCTCAAGCAGCTCGACATATCTTCACGGGACAGCTCGCGCATGCGACAGTCTTCGGGCTCCCATCTCTTGAAGACATCTCTTGGCAGGTTCGAGTCTTGACTAGAGCGCCACCTCCCACTCGAGAGCAGGCTATCGCACCTGTAAGGATCGTGTTGGCCTGTGGTTCGTATCAGCTTGTAATATCTTAGAGTTGGGGGGGGGGGAGACGGGGGCAGGTGTGGGGTCTTTGGGGGCTTGCAGAATCCATACCGAATACAAAATACTGATAGACGACACAAAGAATCAAGATAACGAGGGAGATGCGTGGTAAAATCTTTAGGAGAAGCGGCGAGCTCCCTGCGGGGGCGACCAGCTTTTGGACGCGAAGCATCGCGGGCTAGGAGAGAGGAAAAAGGAACCACGGGAGGCGCGACGTGAATCAACGTTCCGACTGGTTGTGGCGGCGGCGGTCGAGGTCGGCGGGAAACGGCATTCTCTTCCGTTTAGTGTCGTAGAAGGTTTCCCGGGCCGCTGCCTCGGTGCGGCGCTGTGAAGAAGGACGGGACGGGAACGGAGAGACACACTCGCACGCGCTCTCTCTATCTCTCTCTTACACACACGATCGCGCGTGTCTCTCTCGTGAGGAGGATGTGAGAAGAGGCGGGAGGGAAACGGTTGAAAGGATCAGACGTGGTGGGCTACCCCCTCCTCCAGGCGCGAATGCGAGACCGCGGCTGCCATTTCCCTTATAATGCCAACAAGCCATAGGCTGCAGAAGCCAAGAAACGGGCGGATGACAGGGCTGGCGCTGCCAAGAGTCCGCTACGGAAAGAGACCCGTCCATGGTCTTGGGATCTCATTCCTCAGCGAGCCAGTCTAGAGGATGGTGGGAAGCTCTCAGGCGCAACGGGGAAGGGATGCGCCTTCAGGCTTAGGGGGCCGCATTGGCAATGAGGATTACGGATACGCAGAGGGAGGGTGGGCGTCACCGTCAGCGCCTGCACCCATTCGCCTACGATGGCAGGTGCGGTTGGCGAGATGGAGGACCCGAGATAACAGGCCAGAAAGCAAAAATGCCCTCCAAGACCCCTGTGGACATACAATATCCCTGTCGCGGGAAGGCTCCTTTTGGAAAAGCACCACGCGACCTTCCTGTGGGGATGGAGGTCGCAAGCGGGCAGCAGGCACCACGCTCTGGTCGAGGCACCTGCCCGCCGCCCGCTGCTGCCCGCTCGGAGCACTGTGCTCTGGGCAGCAAAAATAACACAGTGTGGGCTGTACTTACGTGCGTGAACACTGTGCAGAGCCACGGCCGAGCAGCGGTGAAACGCCGATCTCTCAGGTCGGGCAAACACAGTGCGGCCCACCTTCTTGGCTGGAGTCGCACGCTGACAGCCAAGAAGGCGCACCGCTTATTTTTCGGCTGGGCGAATTTTTTTATTTCCTTCCTTCTCCTCACCATTTTATTGACATGCAATCCTTCAATCTGCCTTCAGCCTGCCGTCGCAACCGGCGGCACAGCTCTTGGTCGGTTTGAAGTTCGCCATGCTGCTCCAAGCGCATGTGAATGCTTACTGGAACATGAGCGACAGGCAACAGAGTCAATGTTGACATCCCACTGCCAATTGCAGTCGCGAAACCATCGGTAGGTCATGGCGCAGCTCGACCCCGTGTCTATTTCTGTTTCTTTCCTGTGATACACCACGCCGTCTTTTGCCATAGCTCGATCAGCTTAGCCTTCCCGACTGCTGATCTTGAGCCGGATACACCACGCTTCGGCGACGTGTACAAGACAAGACCAACCCCCAGACAATGTTCTTTGAGTACGGAACCTTTAGACTTGAAGTGAAGGCTTTCGTAATTTATCTGTTGTCACATCTCTGAAATATCCAGCCTCATTTGGCGTTGGTTTACGCCGACGACATGGCCTAGTCAGTAGCAGGCATTTTTGTAACCCGTAATCACCGGTCTCCCGACAGCCAATTGCAATATTGCGATTCGTTTCATTCAGACTTCAAATACCCGCCTACTTCTGGCTACTAGTATGATTTGCTGTCTCCGTTGCAATGTCCAGAGTCTTCTCCATATCCGTATGGATCATCGCCTCAGGAATCCCAACGCCAGTGTTTGGCCCTTCCCACTGTATTTCGATGCCAAAACTTGAGACCCAATACCGCCCTGACATGCTTTTTTGCTTCTCGTCCAGTTCTCTGCACACACTTCCTTCGATCCCTTCAGAAGCGATCCTTGCACTTGGCCTTCAGAAGCGAAAGCAGACCCTGCCGATCGTACTCGTTCAGCTTGTCCTTCTGGACCGAGCTGACATGCTCAACATGGACCTCCTCGAGGCCGTGAATAAGAAGGAGCTCGTCGGCGCCGAGGCAGTCCATCAGTCTCCGCTTGTTCAGAGAGAAGAAGCTGGCCAAACCAGCCTCGCGCGTGTTGAGAATGGTCATCGTCGCCTTGGAGATCTTGATGGTAAGGTTTCTCAGGCTGGTGCATTTGGCCAGGTTCTCGAATGCCTTGTTGGCCATGGGGCCGCACCAGTGGACATGCGCGTTGCGCAAGTACGTCCGAAGCTTGGTGTTGCCTTGGAGTGCCTTGTTGAGCGTGCAACAGCAGGAGAAGTACCAGTTTCTCTTCTTGTACAGGACGTCATAGAACTCGTCACCCAACGACATGCCAAGCTGCTTGAACGTCTTCTTCTGAGCCTTGGACACCACCGGGAACTTCTCCCTCTCTGGGTTGACGCAGTTGCAGGTACCCCACTTGACCGGCTGCAACTTCCCAGTGTCACCATGCTGGTCGATGATCATGTCGAGGATGCGGGCTCGGATTTCCCGGGGGAACTTCATGAAGGGGAATGCTGCAGGAGGAGGAGGGCGATCTGTTGTGTGAAAGTCAGCACATGCCCTCTGAGAAAACAAAGGATGCAGTGGCCCAACGGTCAAAGGCCTAATGAATGGGGTTTGACTGATACTCACTAGCGATGTCCAGGATCTCAGTGCACATCTCAATCAGCTTGATACAGTTCTTCTGCTCCTTTGGCTGCTTCTGCATCAGGAGTGCAACCTTGCGGATGGTGTCGGTGATGGCCTTGCGGTTTTCGTTGCTCATGCGGACCATCCGGCCAAGCTCGTACTCATCCATCATCTTCGCCTTTACATCGTCCAAGTACTGCAGTAATTGCTGGGCGTTCTTGGAGAGACCGTATTTCTGAGGGACCTTCTCCATGGCCAGGAAATACCAATCCCTGGTGGCTTTGATCAACCATCCTCCGTAGGTGGGCTGCAGGGATGCCATTGTTGTTGATTTGATCGGTTTGTTAAGATGTGGCTTCGTGGTTGAAACTGGATGGCGGACAGGTAGATCGTGATTATCACTCAAGGTCCTTGTGACTGCTGCGCGTTTGGTTCAGTTTGTTAAGCTGGCGGCACTACTTCAGATCAGCGTAGTCCAGCTATCGACAACAAAGGGTAACTCACGATAGGTGCCAAGGCATCTGCTGTGTGTTGATGGCTGCCGTCCAAGAAATCGTAAGACGTGTATTAGAGACTCACTCTCAGATGAGTGCGGCCACTGAATATTCTGGACAGATTCACTTGAATCAGGCTGTGCCTGTGGGAAAAAGAAGCGCGAATGCTTCCTCAAGCATACCGCGTGAAAGGTGCTGGTCGGTTGACGCTTGGTGGGAAGCACGGAAGATGATGGATGGGTTGGTAAAGATGAGAACGGGCAGAAAGATACCAACCAACGAAGTGATTATCTTAGGCCAGTGAGGATCCTGTTCTTGGAAGGTGGCTGATATTTGAAGGTGAGAGGGGTTTGTTGGTTAGAGTGGGGGTAGGATAGTGGGAGAGGAAGCTGGCGAAGATGGCCGAGGTGGGCGGGGCAGGGTGGTAGTCAAGTCCAAGTGAGTCGCAGCCTCGAGGGTTGTGATGGGGAGTGAAGAGGCTGACGGCCCTTGGGGCGAAAAGTGTAAACAGAAAGAGTCGTGGTCGCGACGGGAAGGCGCCGAGGGCACAACGAGGAAGAGGGTCGGCAAGGACATACTACCTGCAATAACCACGTATGGATATCGCCCGAGTTGAGCGTTGTTCAAGGCAACAGAATGGACACCATTTATCGATGGGCGTTGTGAAGATGGCAAGAAGGACAGCCGTATGATCCAAGGTGCCGAGTTCGTCGATAGCGACAATCAAGGCCATGATGATAATCGCAGCGTATTTGGCCACTGCATTTTGGGAACGGGAAGAACACCACCCACCAAGTTACAGTTACAACTGTGAGAATCATCATAGATTTCGATTATCTCGGAGATAGTATTTGCGTGCAGAAGATTACTCGTTTGATTTAATACTGGCCTGGGGCTTGATCGAATCCCAGCTCCTTGCAAATGCCATATGCAGCGTGGTCACCATATGTACGTACACCTTGACAGCATCCAAAATTTTCCCTCCCAGATAGTGTTTTCCACCAAGGACAATCGTCTTTTCCCGTATCATAAGCCAATACCAACTCCGATGCAATGCTTTTCATTAACGACAGTAATTCCTCCCAAAAGACAAAAGTTCCTAGACTCTCTCATCTTCCTCCGGCACAGACCGGACAAACGGCCCCTCGCGCGCCACTGAATTCATCCGGCGCGGGCTCTCGTCCACGCTGTTGTGTCTTGAGGTACCGGGACTGACGCCGATGCTGTAGTAGCTTGACCGCGTGTCGCGACTGGGCTGCCTCTTGCCGAAGGTGAGCGTGAAGCCGTTGAGAATTTCTTGGTGGCGGAGGTTGGTCTCGCTGAAAGGCCTCTCGCGGGGATCGGGCTTCTCCTTGGCGGCCTTCTTTTCCGGCTTCTCATCCTTTGAGAACCATCGCAGTGTTTTGGCGAGACGGAGGGCCCCAGGGGACTTGGATTCCGGCGATGAGCAGCCGTTTCCTTGGCTAGGCTCAGAGATGGACTTGCGGCGGCGGAAGTGGTCACGGATGGCCATAGTGGATATAGCTGGCGGGAGAGGAATATTTCAGATGTCGGAGGTATGGGTAGTATCGACAGAATGGTGTCGATCAGCCACAGATAAGGTGCTGATGGAGATGTTTAGACAAGGACTGGTACCGATGAAGTTGATGAGAGTCCGTGGGTACCTGTAGATGCTGCGGGTGCTGATCTGTGGTTAGAACAAATTTGGGAGGGAAGGGGATGCCAATGGTATTTAACAAAGATGGGCAAGAATACTGAGAATGACTGGCTGCAAGACGGATGTGGCAATGCCAAAGAAAGCACCGTTAGGTCGATCCAAGATGGTGGGATGCACGTCGTTCGACGGCCTTCTTGGACCTTGCATTGGTGGGGTCAAGCTTCTGGGGTGCTTTCACCACCGCTGAGTCTGAAGAACAGGGCCTGAGACTAACACCATCACACCACCCCAGAATCGGTTTCTGGGCTTGCTGCCGCTGTGTCCGCGTTACGTGCCTAGGGTTGAATGGGTGGTAGTCTGCAAGGCGCTACGCCTCTGCGGGTGCTTGCGGGGTGGGTGCTCTCGATGCGGGCCGACGTCATTCCAAAAACCTCTGGCCCGGCGGTCGTTCTCGACCAAAGGAGTCCTCGCTTGTCTCCGGCGCCTGTAAATCAGAAAGCCCGATGTTCGCTGCTCGCCGCTGATCGAAGATGATCCCCAACGTGGCGGGGTTGGTCTCTGACGGTCTCGACTCGACCTCAGCACTCATTGTTCTGGAAGACGGCCATTCCAAAGTGTGTTCTTTGAAGACGTCGGACCGTCTCCGATGGTCCCGGCTAGGCCGCTCAATGATGGGGGGTCTGGATGCGAGCCATGTCTTACTTAGTGCCAGGCACCTTAAACTAAGGGTGCATTTAGTGACACCTCGCAGGCTTAAGGACGAGGAAAAATCCGCGCGTGGACGCTGAAAGAAGTTCGATTGGTGCATTTATCTCCAATCTGCCAAACCACTCCCGGAACGCCACCCTCAACTAAGAGGCAACCGCCCGCCGGCCACCAGCCTCAGGCGGTGGCCGTCCTCGAGCTCTGTCGAATACCATTTGTCCAGGTAAACCGTGATGCAAGCCGACAAAGAGCTTTGCGTTGTGAACGGGCATTCAAGGCCGCTAAGTGTATTTCGCCCTCCCCATCCGTTTCAACCGCTCATCTCGATGTGCACTCGGCACCGAACACCCCAGCGCTGCTGGATCCCAAGCCGCCGAGAGCTGTCAGGCCCCATGCCAGAGCTGCAGACTCCCAATCCAAGTCACCATCAGGCATCTCATCTCCTTCGACCGCAGAGCGGCTCTCTGGAGCGCTCGGCTCGTATGCATCCTCTGGTACCTCGTCAACTTCTTCCGTAGCTCTGCGATCTCGGGTTCGGCGATTCCCTTCGGCCGCAGCCGTCTTTGAAATTGTCATCTCGCCGGTTTTCGCTTTCGCTGGGCGGCCCCTGCGTCGCGTGGAGATCGCGCTGGTGTGGCTGCCCGTTTCCGATTCCGGCGTTGATTTGTCGTTACCTTCCAGCAGTCTGGTCAGTGGCTGCGCCTTCGGGGCATTCTTCTGCGCGAAGGGTGTCGAGGAGGCCAGAATGTCGTCCACATCCAGCGCACGTGTGGCAACCCATAAACCTTGGCTGGCACCGCTGAGCAAAACGTCCCATGCCACGCCTGCTACCACGGGGTGGTCGGATGCCGATCCCAGGACCTTGCCGAGAGCCGTTGTTGTTCGCTCCCACGTCGAGCGCTCTTCTCTGTTGAAGGGAAGGAACCGACTATGACGATGATAGTGAGCGTCCGGTGCGTTGTACAGCAGGCCAAGGGCAGTCCCTTTGACGTGAAATGCGAAACTCGCCGTGGACAGAAATCGGAATAGCTCAGTGACGATCCTGTATGCCCCATGGTGATTAGAGTACACCGTTCCCCAACTGGCCGGAACAACGGCTGGAATTATGACGGGCGCAAACGTCAGAATTCTTCCCAACACTGCGATGTTTCTGAACGTCATTGTTCCGGTTGTTGATGGTGCCCAGTATATCAGCACGTAGTTCAGGCAAAAGGACGCGAGGAGTAGCGTCGGGTGAGGGAACCAGTCTGCAGGCTTAGGAGGAAAGACCTTGTCGTGAAGGCGTCCGAATGCCGTAGTTGGCTGTTGCCCATCCTCAGACTGAGCCGGAGTTGGCGTAAGAATCAACGCCAGGTAAAAGAGGTTTTGCGCGAACGACAAGTTTACCAAATGAGCTAAAGCGAGATACGCCCACAGAGATGGGATGTTCCTCCTTCGGCCTTCGACCGCCAGCAGAAGGCTCCAGGAGATTGTCGCGAGTTCGATCTGCTGTCCCCACCAGAACCGGCGAGCCTTCTCCGCGATAATCTCCAGAGCGTCCAAATGGACTGGAGTATCGCTCAACCAGCGACCGACGTAAACCTGAGTGGCATTCTCGCCGTAAGGGAAGACCCCGTTGTTGCCGTAGAACCTAAAAGTTCGGTCAGTCAGCGAGCCAGACAAAGAAACATACCCAGGTACAACGAACCTGGCTGGGGACTCCACTCCGCGCTGATCGGCCCAGACACGATATGAGAGCTTTGCGTAGCTCAATGTCCAGTAACCTGCGAGTGAGAGGCTGACAAGAGTGAGGCCCGCAAAAAGCGGCGAAAGAGTTGACCTCCGAACCAGTCTTGCTCTTGTTCCTTGGGACGGCGGGAGATCTCGATATGATCTGTACAAACTCTGAGCGACAGTGAAACCAAGATATGCCACCGTCAGCGCGTGGCCGCCCACCAGGCTCAAAGGCATGTATCTGTAGACTGCGTTAGAATGTCGATCATCAACCATTCCTTTGACAGTAGACAAACACACTTGATTTCTGGGTCCAGGGGCACCGGCGCCATGTTTGCTTCTCCAGTCTGTAGATTCTGTTGATGTTTGCTACCTTATCCCTCGATGTATGAGGCAGATGGGAGGTAATGGCTTCGAGTGACGAGGAAATGAGGTTGAGGCTGGCCTCTGGCCTCAGGGGACGCTATTACGGCGCGCGTCATCGTCACACAACCACATCCGTTCCTTGGAAGCTCAATCGACAGGCTTTTCCATCGTTGATCACAGACTGCCTGTACAGCTACTTCTGTGTCGGGCCATACAGGTCCTGCGTCATGGTAGCGGTACTGGACAGGGTCTCTCCAAATGTGGATCATTTCGTCGTGCACGGTCCAATGGAGGCCGGAGAAACACTGGCGGCGGTTTCGCTAGCGCCGAACCCCAATCAGCCCCACCCCTGGTCGACCATAAAATCTCTGCTCGCGATGCGAAATCTAACACTTTCATTTCTTCTTCACTACATCAGTTGGGTTAAACTTACACCGTCATGTGTATTTTTAATTCTAATGGCGGCTCCGCATAGCGGCTTGCTGAGGGTTGTCCTGTTCTCCGTGGATTTCCTTCCGTTCCCGGCCCCCTAAATTAAATCCCATGTGAACACCTTTCCTTATCAGCCGAGTACGACGACTTTTCCTGGTATTTGACTGTGGGGTGGTCTCAACAGACTATTTTGAGATTTTCGCGTTGATTGCAGTAAGCCTTGCCGTTACGCGGTCTTGGCCGCGTTGTTCCAATGGAAAGAAACTGCGCTCCCCGTGAACCGACGCCGACCATAATACGAATTTACGCCGGATGTTTCCTGTGTCTCTTGAGACCTGTTGTCGTAGTCTGTTCGAACGCGATGAAGTGAGTCTCGTTCATGTATGCGCTACTGGGAGCAGTTGAAAGAACATTAGCTCTTTAAAGTCGAGGCAAGCATGTTGAATATCTAAATTGCCCGTGTATCCCATACCAAGACCTATCCAGCAATGCTGGACCCAAACCAACATATCTGTCCATGACCTCAAGCAATTCTGTTGGATCTCGAAAGACACAACGCCTCATACATCCAATGACTAGTGCAAGTAGTACTCAAGTATTCCCCTGCGTCCCAGACAAGCTCATTTGCTCCGTTCAATTCATAACGTATCGTCCCGGAGGCCGTATCTCAATGGCTCAAACGTAGGCCCTTCCACCACCAGAGCGGTTCTTCTTCCAGACCAAGAAAACGAGGGCAATCGTGGCCAAAGCAAAGCCGCACGTTACAAATTGCATGGCCTGGTCAGCCGTGGCCTTCTTGCAATTACCGATGAGTTCCCCCTCAGTTCCGACGGTCGTCCAGGGCCATTCCTCGTTATTTTTCTTATTCGAGTTCTCGACTTTGCCCCGGTTAATTATGTCGTTTGCGTATAACATTTTCAAGTCATCATCGTTGCCAGGGTCGCATGTGATTCCGCGAAGGCCGATTGCAAATGCCTAAGACACGGTTAGTCAAGAACTTCTATAATCGAACGTGGTTTACGTACAATTCCACCAGCAAGGAGCAGCACCCCACTAACGGCATCGACTGCCATCACAACAAGGGCCGGGATGGCGTCGAAGAAGGTGGCAACGGCACCGAAAATGGCAACGGCCAGACCAAAGCCGCCGCAGAACGCGCTGTACTTGGTGGTTGTAGGAGGGTCCGGAATTTTGAAATCCACCCCATTGGCGTTTCCCGTGATCTCTTTGGTGAGCTCGAGAGAGAGTGCGAGGACGACGATCGCCATGATGGCCTATAGAGAGTTAGTCGTACTGATTCGGAAGCAATGGATGGGAGCCAAGTACGAACCTGAAGGCCCCACACGCCTGCGCTGACAAACTTGAGCATCGTGTCGATCGATTGACAAGAAAAGATTATAATTGGGATGCTACGTCGAGAGTGTTGCGAGGTGGTCTCACGCGGTCTTTTACGGACGAATGTGCCAAGGACCTTGAGCAGGCCACACTGAAACATGCAATAAGATAACGGGGAAGCAACCCTCAAAAATAGTAAAGGAATGTAGTTTGCCTTTAAGTATGTGACTCAAACGCTCACAGACACAAGGTTGGGCGATAGCAGACTGGTAACACCAGGCACCAACGACTGTCAATCCAACCCCCAATGTAACTCTCAAGGCGGCACAGCACGATATTCCTCGTCCAAGCGTTCAGCCCGGTGACACATAAATGAGAGCCATGCATGTTTGCGCTCGAATACAAGGCACAGCTCGTCCGAGGCGGCAAAGTGCAGATCGACAAGCCAGTAATTCTCCTAGACGCCTGCCGAGCAAGACATTGTATCCCTACACGAGAACTGCCTCGCCCGCCCCTGGAAGGATGTCGCGGATGCTTCAAATTTTCACGCCAGCATCTGTCTTTGAGCAGCTAACATGAGCCTGGCGTGGGCTCGCTGGGACTACTGTCTCAGACGGGGGGATTAGCATGAGGAGGATGACGGTTGGAGCAGTGTAGGATTCGCGAGGCTGGCTGGCTTGCCATGCACATGGAACCAACAATGTTGTCGGTGGGCTGAGCTGTGAGGATCAGCAGCCGTTGGTTCATGGAGCTGTTGGTGCTGGGATGAGATGTCGTTGAGACTTGCTTTTCGCTAATTTAAGACGAGTTGGGCAGTGCCTTGCGCCCTGCCTTCTGCCGCTTGCCTGTCGTTGCCTGGGGTCGGGTGGAGACCGGCCGCAAACGCTCGAGATCCCCGCCATCGTCCCATCAAGACCAGGAAGAGAAACTCCAGGTAGGCAGCTTACCTAAGGGTGCTATCGTCTTATCTTCCCTCCAGGACTTATCGATAAGAAACCGCCGATGACCTTCCATCACAGTCCCTCCACTCCGAACCAAGACCGGGATAAGTGGGCCCATGCCAAAATTCCGCAGGTCGCATCCGTCACTTTCCCGCATTTGGACGCACGGTCCAAGTCGCGATTGAGTGCCCAAATTTTTTCGATGCTTCCATCATCGGCCGCACAAGCCTACGTCTCCTGTCCTCTGACCAACTCCGATCCCCGGCATCAATCCACTCGCCACGTCCACGATTCTCGCCATGTCGTCGCTTTGGGATACGTTTTCTGGACGCAAGTCTGCTCAGAAGGAGACGGGCGCCTCGCAAAGCCCCGCGCCATCTCAAGCACCCACAACCCTCCAGACTGCGCCCACCCATTTCGACCCGTCAGCAGGATCTGGTGTCGAGTCTTTCCTCCAGAGCTCTGCCTTTGCAGACCCCGCACAACTACACCCCCTGTCCGGCCTGAACAAGGACACTCTCGAATACCTCTCTCTCGAAGATGCCGCTCTGAACGATGTGCCCGGCGGCCAGTCCGTTCTCCCCTCCCGAGGCTTTACGGATGATCTCTGCTACGGAACCGGTGTCACATACTTGGCGGCCTTGTCGATAGGAGGAGCCTGGGGTCTGCAGGAGGGCCTCAGGAGGTCTGCGAACCAGCCTCCGAAGCTGCGTCTGAACTCGGTTCTCAACGCCGTCACCCGCCGTGGTCCCTTCCTCGGCAACTCGGCCGGTGTGGTCGCCATCACCTACAACCTCTTCAACTCCAGCATCGGCTACTTCAGAGGGAAGCACGATGCCGCGAACTCCATTTTGGCGGGCGGATTGAGCGGAATGGTTTTCAAGAGTACGCGAGGTGCGCGGCCCATGTTGATTTCTGGTGGTATTGTGGCCTCCGTAGCCGGTGCCTGGGCTGTAAGTTTTCAAATTGCACGCAATTATGATTCTGGTTCTCTTACGCTTCGACTAGGTCATTCGCCGAACTTTCTTCGCCATCCCTGAACCCACGGCTTCAGAGCACGCCCATTTGTAATTTCACGACATAACACCTCTCACGACCTCTCCTCGTTGAACCCCACCAATAATGAAACTCTTTTATCATTTTCGGATCACCATGGATCTGTGGATGGCAATGCTCGCTTGATACGAGCTTCTTCTGTCTGTTGTTTGAGTAGGAATTTAGAGAGCCTTAGAGGAGTCTTGGGCATTTGGACGGACGATCTCTCCTCTAGTGGACCCGTGTATAGTATCTGGGAAGAAGCATTAGACGACCGCATCATTGGGTGGTAGTGGTGGGCGTTCGGTACTCGTCAACCAAAAAAAATAAAAGACATTCAACAATACTGCCACACTCGTTTGGAGGAGTGCTAACTGTGCTTGCTTTCAGGCGCAATTTCTTGCCTTGAAAGCCATCATCGGAGGGGGTGCCTGTTTCCTCCACGTCAACACCACTTTCGGTAGGTCTCTTCAAATAGTTGCCCCCTCATCTCCCGACATACTAACGAACTTTCGCGTCGACAATCACTCGACTACCAACACAATGACACAACGGCCAATCTTCAAGGATGTAGCCAGCGGCCTCGTTGAGCTCAAGCTGGACAATATGCGGGCAAGATTCCGCCGTGGCGATCTCACGAGCCTTCAATTTCCGTTACCTTCGGGTGAGTTGCGCGTCGATGACGAATTCGGTGGTCACATCGTCCTCTCCAGCGACACGTCAAGCCCGCTTCCAGAGGGAAAGCAGTACCTACATGACAGCCTGCAAGCGCGATCCGACGCTCTTCAGGACACAATCCGTATAAGGTCGATCGAGTTCATGCTGTCTCTACACAACTTCCTGGATCAAGAGCTCCTGAGGCTTGGAGCAGGATACCCACCGAGACCCCGATCTCTCCACGACCCTAGTTGGCTAGATGAGAAGGTTTGTGTACATCTTCAGTCGATTTTTGAAGTTTTGCATTGATGCCGACAACTTAGGTTCAGGCGGTTGCCCTAGCCAGACTAGAAACTCTCCACGCGTATCCCCTCCTTGATCATGACAGCTTCAAGATCGCGATCGTTCATCTCGGCGAAGATGGCGCGACGGCTTTGGATATGCTGGTATGGCCAAATTGGGCCACCTTCGAGCCTTTCATCGGGAACATTGAACGCATCCATTCTCGGTCGACCCGTTCCATCCACTCCTGGTCAACTACTCATCAATTATATCTTCACATTGCTACCTTCGCCGCCAAAAACAGTCCCCATCCCCCGAACAGGGGAAGTGCAATGACTTACAAGGCATGGCTTGAGGAACTTGACAAGAAGAAAGGCAAATGGATATTTCGCACCTTCTACAACGCCGAGTCAATATTCCGCCCTGAGCTTTAGGGGCCTCAGCAGGAACTGGGCGATGCAGATTCGTTCGATGGCATGATGAAGGACGTGCAGAACGGAGGAAAGGTCGTCGCCGTGGCAAAGGTGAGTATCCTTACTCGGTGAAAATCGGCGCAGATCTCTGACTAGGTGAACCGTTCCGGAGACATAGGCTTGGGAAGTCAGACTGCAGAAAGAGCTGCCGCGGCTCAGGGATTTCCAGCGTTCTATCCCCGAGAACGCCGGCCAACCGGAAGACCCAGTCAATGTTGGCAGGTTTGCCTTTTTTTAAGGCCACCGATCTCCAGATGGACGAGGAGAATGGCCTCGGGACTTTGAATGATTAAATGAGGACATTCTAGCCCAGGTCGAAGGATATTAGTGGAAAACGGCGGCACTTCGCTTGCCATTCGGGCTGCTGAAACGTTCGTCTCTGTAGAATATTTCGGTCTCTCTTCTTAGCCAAGTTGCCTTTGTGTATCAACACAATTGCCCGGATTTTTCGCTGGTACCTTATTTCATTATTCTGCCGTCGAACTCCGTGCGACGCAGCGCGATCATCGCGGTTTCGTTCCAGGAGAATCGGTGCTTTTCCGTCTTGATCTCTCTTCCCTTCTCTAGTGATTTACAACGGAGCGTGAGGCAAATGGTGCCTGCCTTGCTGCATTGAACAGGTGGTATGCATAATATGGGTTGCAAAAAAGTCGCCAGAGTGGGAGCGACCGGTCTTCACTTGGCTTCTCAGTCGTCACAATCTCGTCCCGTATGTGGCCAGGCTACACTTATTCTTCCGATCAACACCACTTTTCTGGCCCTGCTTCTTCCGACAACAATTCAACCCCTTACGATTTGGTCAAGATGTGTGGTTGCTGGCCCTTTTCAGGCGCTCACTACGACAACGAAGATCCCCCTCACGTATACCGTTACGTGTGGGATGGTCAGCGATATGTCATGGAGATGGTAAGTGGATGGTTTCACGGTTCCTCTAGTTTTCTCTTTCTACATCCCCTTCCTCTGGTCTCGCTGTGCTTCCACGGGGACCGCCACAAAGGCGTCGTCCCTTGAATCTGTCTTCTTTGCGCTGCTATTGTAGCCTCATCCCCGCTTAGTCGTGGTGTGATGTTATGACTGAGGAGTCCAGGCTGAAAAGACCAGGCCGCGATGGCTTCAATGCGGCTGGGTGAGGGTTTTCTTGACCTGGCCCTATGGTCGTGTCTTGTCTTTTCTCCTCTTGCCATCTCTTCCACAAACTTCACTTTGGCCCTATTCACTTCAGATTGAGATGGAGTGAAGGAAACCTCATCAATCCAGCTTTCAACTTTGAGGCGAGCCCTGCGCTGGAAGCTTCTTCTTCAATCTCGACCCTTCAACCCCTGATCAAATCAAACATTTCCCAGGAGGCTGGCCAAGATCAACATCGACTCTGAACATCACTACCCAGGCCAGAAAAGCCCTGCCGAAAAAATGAAGTCTCCCAAGGTCAAGACGAGTGCCAACAACACTGGTGGACCTCGCCAGGTTCATTTCAAGGAGGGCAGCAGCCACAGCTCTGGTAGCTCTTTCCCCATCACCCAAGGACCCGATACCTCGACCACCTCGACCGCCCTCAACCGCTCCTGCCTCAGACAACCACGAAGACGAGGAGCCTGTACCCGGCGTCTTCCTTCACACATCCTCCAACCCTTCTGCCTCGGTCAATCTTGGTTACAACTTTCCACCTTCAACACCTTTCGGCCAGGTCCCTCCTCAGCCAACCTACGGCCCTTTCATCCCCCAAACTTCGACCCATCCCGCCTTCGCTGCTGAGGCGAACGCTTTCGCACCTTTTGGAAAATTCAATCCGTTTGGTCTTCAAGCTCCTGCCTACGTCAACATGGCCGACTACCAGAACGTCGCTCCGCCTGCCGGAGGTCTTCACTTCCAGCCGCCGGTCCCTGACACTTCTCACGGCGTCATGCAGCACGTCTACGTGCCTCGCTTTGACAACGGCGCGCCTCCTCACCCTGGCTATGCTTACCATGTCGGTCCTCCTCAAGTTCAGATTCTCCCACTTGCCACTACTACCCTCGTTGCGCAGCAGCCTGCTCCCGTCTTGCTGAATGCGCCCCTCGTCCTTTATTATTATGCAAGTCACCATACATTCACACATCTCAAAATTCTAATCTCCATTGGCGCAGAAAGCCAAGTGGTTTTTGGCATGTGTTTGTTTGCTCGCAACCTTCTTCTCGTTATCAATTGATTGTGCCTCGCCAACTCTCAAACGAAACTATACTGACTTGGGATCATAGCAGCCGCCCCCCAACAACGTCACCTACATCGGCCAAGCTCCTCCCACCAACCCTCCCGTCATGATCGCCCAGCAGCCTATAATGCAGCCTGGAATGGCCATGCAGAACCCGCCCATCATGCTCCAGGGCCCTCCCCAAGTCATGAACGGCGCCCCCATGTTCCAGGGTCCTCCCCCTATGGGCATGAACATGCCCCCCAACATGGGCGGTGGCAGCGGTCCCGTCTTTGCAGGTAATGGTGGTTTTCCTCCTGATGTCACTGGCTTTGGAAAGACGGCTGGCGAGATAGCCATGGAACAGGCGCAGTTCGCCTACGCCAATGGCTTGTTTGAGCCTCAGGACTTCAAGCCTGCTGATGACGACCCGTCTCGTTATTATCCTGTTCGCGAGGTTGACGGTAATTGGACCCAGCGCAACCGTTTTACTATTGACAACCTCGGCGATTGTCGCTGGTATGTCACTAACGAGGGCTTTTTCTACGCCGTTCGTCTGCCCAACTAGGCAGACTATTTGCTGTAAGTCCAACCTTTTTGTCAATTCTAGGACAGTCAGCTCACTCCGCGCAGCGATACCCTACATCGCAGGTCCCCGAGACCTGAACTGTAAGCGATGACAATCGCGGACTTTGCTTGTTAGTTTCCTCATCAAACTTCTTTGCCGAGCCATCTTGCTGATCTTGGTAGTTCATTCGGACGCCCCCGGACGACTTCCCAACTAGACTTCCAGTCTTCGAGGTATGCTGGATTCGTGCCAGAGAAGTGATGATAGCCATACTGACGCGACGTCAATCCAGAACTGCCTCGCGTTCTCATAATTGGACACGAAATGTCCAGAGCCAAATCAACGGCAGATACTGGGATGAACTGGGAGACAGGACGAGGGTAAATTGGATGGCTGGACTTTTCTTATGTTCATGGTTTCGAGGCACATTTGGACGAAACCACGTCAATTGTGCGTGCCACAAGAGAGATGGGTAGCTTTCTTGATACAAGAGCGGAGGCAGTCTCCACGTCGACGGTCCGTGATTGTCAGATGCCGGCCCAGTTCTTCCAAACCTGGAATTTCCGTAGTTGAAAAAGAAAATGCACAACCTTTTCGCGATGCTCTCCAAGATTCAAGATGATTTCTTCACATGCGACTCAGATGTGTTAGTGACGTACTTTCTGTAAGGGACGTAATAAAATCCGCCACCGACCCTAGCCCGCTTGGTGCAAAGGTGCCATGATGATTCTATCGTCTTGGAAAACAATCTTTCTATCTGCTTGATATACGCTCTTTCCCGTTATTCAATTTCTGTATCAGTCATGAATTATAGTGACCCAAAAAGCTCGTCTGGCAGGTGGGAGGTGGCAGAGGTTGTTCCTTCCCAAAATTTGAGGCGATAAGGACCAACCTCCCCTTGCCTCACGCAACTGCTGCTCTGCCGCGCTTTTCCAAGTCCACATCAGTGAGAAAAAGCTCCTCTACAACCAAAACTTCCTCCTCACTGACTTTGAGCGAATGCTTCTTCTGCAGACCCTCCTGTAATCTGCAAACACGCCTAAGTCTCCAAACTTTCATGCACGGCTAACTTAGTCTAGGTCGCTGCTGCCATGACGGTTAAGGGCAGAAGTTCCACGCTCTGTGAATGGGCTCTTGGAGTCAGCGTAGAGGAGTATTGCGACTCAGTTCAGCGGCGCAGGCGCAAGACATCGACTGGCCGACAGCGCATCAGCGTCGAGATCTCGACTGACGAGGAGTCTGAAGAGGACACCGTCAAGATCACATATCCACGCGCCGGGAGCAAGAGCTCTGCTGCCCGACCATCCAATATCAAGAAGGTGCGCTTTCAGGGAGCACCCAAGCCCGCATTGAAAGCGGCCGATTCAGACGCCGAATCTTCAGGTGATTCAGAACCCGATCCGGACTGCAAGTGCCGGGACTGTAAGATAGGGCGCAGGAGACTAAGAAAGGCAGGAAAAGGTGACAAGGAGAAGGCTACTGAGGCTGAAACATCTGAAGAGGAGTCCAAGCCAAACGAAAAGAAGAAGTCGAAGGTCGACAAGAAGAGCAAAAAGGTAATCGAATCATCATCGGAGAGCGACGACAGCGATGCTGAGACGACAGAGACCGATACAGAGACCGAGGATGAGGCATCGCCGCCTCCTAAGAAGACAAAGGACAAGAAGGAGAGCAAGAAGAGCGCGAATAAATCCAAGGAAACGGCCGCAGCAGACGTCGAGCCTAACAACGTTGGCCCGACAAAGAAGGAGCGAGCCAAGAAGAACGACAACACGAAGAAAGAAAAGGCCAAGAAAGCTCGCGAAACCGAGAAATTGAGACCCGAGGCCGCCTTATCTCCCAATCTCCGCCGCCCAAATCTCATCATGCCCATCCGAGCTGAGGTTCTACAGGTTGAGCATGCCATTGAAGGGGTTAAGGACCCCCGACCGAATGCTTTCCATGATTCGCAGCACGGCGTCGTTCGAGTCTATCACGGACCAGCATACGGCAATCCTTATGGACTACTGTATCCCGCGCGCGATCCTTCCAAGGCAACTCTGCCTTTAGGCATGCCTCATCCATTGCAGAACCCTTACTTTAACGGGTTTTCTAACACTATGAATCCTGGCGACAACCACTCCAAGAGCCAGTCGCCATGGGGTGCTATTCCAGTCACCTACATGCCAGGAGGACCTCCGATGATGGCCCCGGTTGATCCGATGCAAATGCCGCAGATGCCGCCTTACTGGGCTCCAGTGTCACCAGTCAAGATTTCTTCAGTCAAAGGGTCACCGAAGATGTCAGGGGCCAACCAGGCAGGCGACAGCAAAGAGAAGGGATGGGAAACGAATGTTGGTCCAGCGGGCGCCAAAGCTCCCTCTCCTGCAAAGAGCGCCAAGGTCCAGCCGTTGAACAACAATGTTGCACCAGCCTCTCCCATCAACATCAGTCTGACTGTCAATCCGAACACGCCTTGGGCCGAATTTGCGAACACCGTCAGCAAGAAGTCTAGTCCCAATAAAGACGGCTCACAAGCTGGGAGCAAGCAGGGATCCAACAACGGGAGCAAGAAGTCTTGGGGGTCCAAGAAGACCACCGATTGGCAGACTATACCCAGTGGTCAGCACCCAGACCTCGGATGGGGCACACCCGCGAAGAGTCAAGCGGGCAGCAACTCTGGGTGGCCCCAGACCACAGGGAGTAACTCTGGGTGGCCCCAGACCACAGGGAGTAACTCTGCCTGGGGTCAAACTGGTGATGGCAATAATGACGCTTGGGGAACGACAGGTGGTTCAGGAAGTAATAGGAGCGGATCAGGAAGCAACAAGAGTGGCGGAAGCAACAGCGGCTGGAACAATTCTGGCAACGACCAGAAAAATGACACCTGGAACGATTCAGGCACTGGCCAAAACAATGACGGTTGGAACACGTCAGGAAACGACACCGGCAATGATCCTTGGGGCTCGTCAGGCAATACCCAGGGCGATGCTGCTCAGGGAGCGTCTGGCGGCGACAATGTCTGGGGAGCGACGACAAACAACAATAATTGGGGAGACTCGGGCAACAACAACGGAAACTATAACCAGACAATGAACACAGACGGCTGGGGAGCCTCTAACGGTAACACAGGCGACACCTGGGCTACAGGAGGCAATTACAACAATTGGGCAACAGCCTCTAATCATTCGAACAGCTCGAAGAAGTCGAACAAAAGCAAAAACGGGGGAGGAAGCAACCGAAGCGCCAGTGGCAACCAGCAGCCACCTCCCAATTGGGATAATCAGAGCAATAATGTCGGATTTTCTGGACGGGTTGTCTCGAGTGGTTCCAACAACTCGCATCAGTCACGAAAGAGCCAAGCGCCGCCGTCGAACTCAGGTTGGGACAACAACGCTGGTCCTTCGACGAACAGCCCCGTCGGTAACGCCTCCAACAAGAGCAATGGTTCAAAGAAGAGCTCCAAGAAGGGCTCAAACAACGACGATGCCTGGAATGCTGGGAGCGGCGACAACAACCCAGCTTGGATCGTCGACAACAATACTGGACCGATGACGGTTAGCCCCAACGCTTCCCAAACGTCAAAGAAGAGCGAGAAGAGTGATAAGAATGCCACGACGGCGGGTGAGGGCGGCGGAAGGGGGCCTGCTCCCGCTGGAGACGGCTGGAATCCGACCAGCACCGAGATGAGCAAGGGCTCCGGCAGCAGCAAGAGCATGCCGGGCGCCTGGGACCCTACACCGCCTTGGGGTGATACAAGCATGGCGCAATCTACCAACGGACTTGCGGATACTTGGTAGAGAAACAAGTGGACGAAACTTGAAGTCTGCGACAGGACCGGATATCCAAGTTTGATGCGATTAGAGGAAGTAACGGCGCCTGGGCGAAGGCTGCGTTTGCGAATTTGCTTGGGATCGAGGAACCTAATTATCGTTTATGGATTTGAGACTGCGTTGGCTTGCGGTAGGCCGTTGGGCAGCAAGTTGCGTGAGGCGGAGTGCGGAGTTAGTTTCATGAGATTTGCGGCATAGGGCGCGCGCGGAATACCTAATTAGCTACGCTGGTGTCCTGATGAGGGACGAGGGTTAACACGGCAAAAGCGAATGAACAGGAACAGCACATAGACAGATACGGTTTCATCAAAGACATTCGCTGGCCAAGAGTGGGCTTTTTTCCGAATTCAGGCCTACAGGATGCGCTACCTAGGAACAGTGAATGCTAGCAAACCGACGAAATCGCCGGATGCCTAGCATCTGGAAAGTGAAGACCGAGTGTACGAGGCAGAAAAGCCAATGAGCGAAGCTGATGAGCAAAAACAGTGGGCAGGGCCACCTGCTGACGCCAGCCTTGACTGTACTGTAAGAAAACGAGTGATATCCGACACATAACCTCCCGTTTACTCCTCGTCGCTGGACTCCTCCTCCTCGGCCTCCTCGAGCCACTTGATGAAGGGCTCGGCGGCCTTGCGGACCTTCTTGGAGGTGGCGACATCGACGTACTTCTTACTGGCCTTGCTGCCCCACTTGATGGCGACCTCCTCGCTGAGCAGGTCGAAGTTGTAGTACAGTTGCAGGATCTTGACAATTTGAGTGTACAGCTCGGGGTGCTCCTTGCCGAGGCTGCCAATAAGGCGCTCGGTGCCACCAAGCAGAGCCTTCTCGTGGCGGTCAGAAGTGACAAACTACAGTGCGTGTTAGCGTATCTGCAAATACCAAGCCTCGAAGATCATGTCCACATACCTGCTTCATCATGCCGGAACGCTTGGGAATCTGGGCGAGAATGTTCTCGTCAAAGATGGTCTGAACCAGGACGAGGACGGAGCGGTGCTTGGTCTCGATGCCAAGCTCCTTGGCCTTGACGAAGATGTCAATGGAGTCGACGTTGTCAACACCGCCCTTAGCGGTGGCCTGGTCCTGGATCCAAGTGCCGAACTCGTCATAGACAGTGTTGCCACCGCCCTCGCCATCCTCGTCCTCATCATCGCCGATGTTGAGCTTCTGCTTGAACTCACCGGGCAGCTGGGCCTGACGGGCCTTCACAGCCTCCTCACTCATGTCCACGGCCCACTCGTGCTCAGCCGTCTCGTTGTCATCGAGCTCAGGGGCTTCCTTCTTCATCTTCTCCAGCTCGTCATCACTGCCAGCGTCCTGGTCGTCGACGTCGTTGGATCCGTGATCGGAGCCCTCGCCGCCGCTTCCGCTTCCGTGGCCATTCTGGCCGTTCTCCTTGGCACCATTAGCCTTGGCGCGGCGAGCTGCCTTGCGCTCGGCCTTGTCCTTCTTGCCCTTCTTCGGCTGGTTCTTCAGGATGTAACTGCTGAGCTTCAGGCGCAGG